CACACACACACACACACACACACACACACACACACACACACACACACACACACACACACACACACACACACACACACACACACCGCTGCAGACTCTCTGCACGAAGGAGCCGCGGTGCTGCAGCTCCTGATCGGAGCAGAGACACACGTTCACTAAGCGGAAAAACTATATCCTGTCACAGAGATCTGCTATTTTAAAGTAAAGTCAACACATTTCGACCCTAAATAAAGTCTATATTAAGAACGAGAGATGTTTTAACATATGGCTTAAACAAATGACAAATGAGCGAGGGTGATGACGTCAGAGCATCGTCCTATGTCCCCCCGGACAGCCCCGGCCCAATTTAACCCCTGGCTAGCACGTTAGTTAGCATTACAGCCTTGTCATTTGTATTAGCCTTAACATGAAGTAACATTAAGTAACCCAAAATGTTAAACAGTAAGAGTAGTAGTCATATTTCGTGAACCCTTTGAAGAGTACTGTCACACCGGTGTGATCATTATATAATACACAATTTAAGCCCGGGGGAGAAATGCTAACGCTAACGCTAGCGATCTTCTCTACTTCATGCTATCTGCACAAATGGTTGACATTAAACATTAAAAAGACCAGGCAGTTCAGAGAGAATCAAAGGAAGGCAGGCAGGCAGCTTTGCATGACTTTCTTCAGGACGTGTTTCATTGTGGTGATAGTGAGGGTAGTCAATCGTTTTGTTGACAAGACAGTAGTGACGGCCATCTTGGTGACGTGTGTTGTTCTGTGAGACCAGAGACGTAGTTCATTGAGCGTTTCACACAAACAAATGTGTTACTTCACAGTTTTACGACACATTTTTTTTTTTTTGACTTGCAAAATTATCTTTTAAATTGACAAACATCATATGTGTAATGCGTGGCACAATTCAAACGGGATCGAAAGATAATCTTTCTCTCTCCATTGACTTCAATACATAATTTTTCCGAAATAAGGTCCCATGGAGGTCCACCAGAAGGGGAGGGACTTCGCCACTCTATCCACAATGTAAAGTAATTCACACAGCCTCTTCCCTCTTCTCTCTGTGAGGAGCAGCAGGTTCAGCTTTCAGACCAAAGTAACAAAAAACTAAAATGGCATTCATTTTTTTAAATATGTCGTGTAGTAATAGATTTATTTATTTTTCTTCTCAAGAGAGTACCAGAATGTGTATTTTATGTTAGTATTTAAAAAAATCTCCTGGGGGACAATCCCCCCAGACCCCCCTGCAGGGGTTGGGTCTTCAGCATGTCAACTCTATCAACTGTGGGGAAATTGCAGGATTGGCTCCAGGTCGCCGTTTTTATTTACTACAAGACAAATGTGCCTTTTTATTTCATACAGTTCAATTTGGATTAAGACAGGGAAATATCCGCCACATTAAAGCCCCGGCCACACGAGGACGATAACGGTCGTATCTGTTACAGTTCACTATCAGATAGACGGTTCGGCCACACGAGGCCGACACGGAAACGCAGAAAACGATGATGATAACGGGTCCCTAGGTGGGTAGATCTGCAAACAAAACGCTCTGGGGGGGGGAAACGGCTCCGTGTTTACGCCTATACGATCATGTCCTGATAACGATGACGCAATAGCCCCGCCTCTCCCCACCTCTCCTGCTCAGAGATCAGCTGCTGGGCTCTCAGAAGAGGGGGAGGAAAAGAGAGGCTCCGTTTTTTATTATTATATAGATGTTATGTATGTGTCACATCAGGTGTGACTGTGCCTTTAAAGGTCCCATGTCATGGCCATTTCCACTGATCATAATTCCATTGTTGAGGTATACTAAAAATAGATTTATACTGTGCATTTTTCCAAACTCACATTGGTTTCGCATACAGCATCTCTGTAAAGTGTGTGTATTCAGCAGTATTCACTCTCTCCACTAAACGGCTCATTGCAGCTCTTGCCCCCCCCCCTCCCTGTGAGCCCAGTGTGCTCCGATTGGTCAGCTCGGCCACTCTGTTCTGATTAGTCAACCACCAGAGAGGCTCCGCCCATGTCTAACAGTGCTTTTTTCGGCTCGCTCTCAGCGGAACATCAGTCTTATAATGGCATCGGTACAGCCGTATATTTTATACGCTAACTAACCGAACTGTACCTACAACTGTTGTTATAGAAGAGTAAGTTATTTTTACCTGTAATAAACTACTACTGTTTGATGAGAAATCAAATCATGGTTTGCTATATATGAATGATATGTTATAGGAGCAAATAATTCAGGGAAGAAAGGATACTAAGTATTTCCATCAAACTTTATTTTTAGAAATGTACAAAATGAACATAAATATACATATATACACTGTATATCATCCATTCCAAGACAGTATAAAAGACTACAATTCCCACAGCGGCAGTCTCTAAAGAGACAGAGATGGGCAATCTGAGACGCCACGTCGAGGCACAGTTTCTAACCGTTTAAAGGTGGGGTAGGTAATTCACTTCAGAAACAATTTTTGTTATATTCCATGGAATGCTCTTAACATCCCGATAGCAATGAATATATTAAATGCTTTGACAATAAATACATACAAAAATGTCATCTGTGGAAGCCGTAGCGCTGTAAAAAGCACGACCAATCATTTTAGCCGGCCCGGTTAAAATAACTGGATGGCCTACCTGCCTGTCAGCCTTCCATCTGTGCACAAACTTATCTCGTGCCCTCATTGGTCATGTGCGCGTTCGTGTGTGTTGGAGGAGGGGCTCTGTAAGGAAGTGGTAGATTTTCTCCGGTTGTGTACTTTCAAATTCAAGCGCACTCGAGCTGGTTTCTCCATTCTTACCTACCCTACCTTTAAGTTATTGTTAAAGTTATACAAGCCTACACAAAGAAAGACGAAGATCTAAGTTGTTTATTTGAGTTTGATTGTTATGACTATTGTAAAGGCATGTTTTCTTTGTTGAATGTTTGAAAAGTGTATTTTATTTTGAGTATAAAGGTGTCGTGCCGTAGATTGAAGGCTTGCCGTAAATTGAAGCCGTGTTCGCGGGGACGCGCAGGGCTGATGTCATTTCAAATATTGGACGTTTCGTCTAGTTTTCTAAGCGGAAGAACGAAATAAATTATTTACTTTCTATCTATTGACCGATATATATCCCATCAGATTAAACAGCAAACGGCTGAACAAATAATGTGCATACAATTGCGAGGAGGCTCAATTTAAGGAAAATTGACAAATCTGTAAAATTGTTCGTATTGGAATAAACTTCAGTGTTTTTATGTTTTATTCCTACAGAATACATGGTGAAAGGTTAAGATGTGTTTTGTCAGTATAGTACTATTTTATAAAACATTCTCTGTTGTTTAAGTGTCTGATACTTGATAACCACGATTCCACGAATACAAAATACGTGAATAAAATCACAACTAATGACATCACATATATGATTTAGTCAGACACTGTGTTATTTCAAATCAAGCCTAACGAATAATTCGTTCAAACTGGCTTTAGTCACTTGAATTGCTCCTTAGAATGTAATTTTCCTGTGTGGTTTTCTATGCAACACAATTTTGTATTGTAATGCCACTCATATTTTATTTATTTGTGTATTGTAAGGTGACATTGAATGTTTTAAAAGGGGCCCTCAAATAAAATGTATTATTGTTATTGTATCTGTGCCTCTCTCACACTATTAACGTTGTTTTTCTTTAGACAAGGTTAATCCTGGTGTCAATAGGGAAGATCTGCACGGTTCTCTACAGCCCATGCAGACCAGGTGTTGGTGCTGCCTGGTTTGGCACCCCCACTATAACTTTGTCCTAGATAGTCGTACTGTCACCAAAATCACACATGTGGAAGCCCCTCTTTAGTTTTTCACCTGTTGAGCCCAGAGTAAAAATGCTTTTGTGTGCACAAACTAGAGGGGGACAGCAAACACCAGTGTGATTTTGGTGACAGTACGACTATCTTGGACAAAGTTATAGTGGGGGTGCCAAATCCGGCAGCACCAACACATGGTCTGCCACATGTGGAAGCCCCTCTTTAGTTTTTCACCTGTTGAGCCCAGAGTGAAATGCTTTTGTGTGCACAAACTAGAGGGGGACAGCAAACACCAGTGTGATTTTGGTGACAGTACGACTATCTAGGACAGGGGTGTCAAACTCAAATACACAAATAATCGGTCCTAGTCGAGGTCCGGACTGGTTCAATGTTTATTGCAAAACGTATTGAAATGAACTTACTGCACATATTAAACCTGGAACTAACAAAGCTTCAATTATTGCCTATAAAAACAACATTCAATAATCAGTTGCATTCATTTCTTATGGCTCTATCTGCAGATTTTCCGGGGTCATTTCTTATGATTACATTTTTCCACAGGCCAACAACAGCTTCAAAAAAACTATTTCCCTCAAAGAAAAAAATAAACATGCCCTGTTGTCGCAAGAAACAAAGTGCAGAAGGAAACATCCATTGAAACTCAGTTTGCTGCTCTGTGATGCTAGTTTTAGCCAGATACTTGGCATCTCATCTTGGGTGCATGTTCATCAATGTTTGGGGTCAGGCTCTGAGTCAAAAACCCTCAAAGTACACCCTGTAGCGAGTAAAACTCTAACACAGAAAAGACCTGTCTATGCTGCCCCAAAACGCCTCGTTGGAGATTTCTCATTTTCCATTGTTTTCTTCCTGGGTTCTCTGACGTGTGAATACCCAAATCAACAACAAATGACCGGATTGGCCACACTTATTGTTTTTACTTCGGCTGTGAGTGTTTGTGTGTGCTCAGGATGAGTTTCGCTTGTTCTCGCTGTATCGCCGACACGGAAACCTGTCCGCTCCTCGCAGCAGCGAGCCTCGCAACGTCCCGACCAATCAGAGCACACTGGGCTCACAGGGAGGGGGGGGGGGGGGCAGGAGCTCCAACAAGCCGTTTAGGACAGAGAGTGAATACCGGTGAATACACATACTTTACAGAGATGCTGTATGAGAAACCAATGTGATTTTGGAAAATTGCACAATTTAATGTTTCTAGTATACCTCAACAATGGAAATATGATCAGTAGAAATGGCCATGATTAATTAATTTTGTATTTTTTTATATGCTTCAAGTTCAGGTAAGCGGGATTCATTAAGTGCCAGGAAATAACTGTTTATCCAACAAATTGGACATCTCCATCCAGGACAGGTCCCACTGCACCTCCGTCACGTCCTGCTTGGTTGCAGGAAGCTCCACCGCTTGTAGTCGCTCTTTAGAAAACGGCCAACACCTACAGGTACAAAACCTTTGGTGCCATCATACAAAGTCAATAATTAGTGAAGAATTTTCTAAACGTCTGATGACAAACTTACAGTAGGAAGTATGAAGTTAAGTGAGCTGAAGATTTTTTAAACTAACCTGTAGTGATGAAGCAACCAAACGGTTACAGGAATGAGGAAAAGAAGAAGAACTCCACATGAAACAATGACCCATTTCCCGGAGCCTGGAGAATAGATAAAATGTTTTTGTCCGACAGTAACACGATCATACCAGAACTACATCACTGGTACACAGATTCATAGGAGTATAAATGCTTTTGTTATAGTACAGATTAAAAAAAATTGTTGTCATCTAATAACCCCTTGTTAACGAATAACTTGATTTTACAGTAATTATTATCATAGATTATTCCCTCCAGAACTAGTAAATGAATGTATGAACTATACAAAATCATGTTACCACTATTGGAAGCGGCTCTCTCATCTGTTGATGTGAAATTGCCTAGAAGACAGCAATTGATATTGTTCACCATGACAGCTTTAACAGATAAAACACTAAGCAGAATAAGAAATGTCTTAATCAAATGCATTGAGCCATTCAGCTGACCTCGGTGTGGACTCACTGATAACCAAGCCTCTGGACTCTCCATCTTTCTGTCCTGGGACGCACACTTGTAGAAGCCTTCATCTTCCTGTGTCACATTCTCTAAAGTCATCTTTATTACTCTGTCTGAACCGGGGGAAGTGAAGTTTTCTGCTCCGTTTTTAAAGAAGGTTGTTTTACTGTGATTGCCTACCCAGTACTGACAAACCAAGACCACTTTATCACCCTCAAAAACAGGGAAGGCAGGAGTCTTCAAGATGATGGCGCCATCTGTGAAATGGGACGATGGTGGACATAGTTAACAGACATATTCTTTCACTATAACTCCTCACAGTTTTATGTGTTTGTCCTCACTCTTCTTAACCAGCTGGTATGGGCTGCAAGTGATCAACAACTGCTTTAGTTTGGAATCTTTTGTCATTTTAGGGATTAGGATTTCTCCCTTTCCTGATATGCATGCCAGGGTTATTTAAGGAGTACACTACAACATTAATGCATATAGAGAGAGAAGGTGGCTGAGCAGCTGGAAAGGTTAACATTGAAGTCGTATGGTTTATTCATACTGGATGTTGTCTCTCTTTTCCTCTCTCTGTTGGGCAGGTACAAGGGGCCTTGAGGCTTTAACATTCTCTCTGGGTGGTAAGACGGGCCCTTTTAACCACAACTTAAAACACCATAAAACAATCTCTTCTTCAGACAATAACAGGACAGTGTCTGCCATCACTTCCAAGCTCTCCTTCACCCTTTGTTCTGGTTCTTTGTTTCAAGAATTTCACCACACCTAGTTTGCTAAAAATAAATACTTACAGTAAATATGACGCAGCTGTACAAGCATGCAGTGATGTACAGCCAGCTTCATAGACTAGAATGAAAGGCTGTGTTGTTTGCCTAGTGTGGGAGATGCTTCTAGACATGGGTTAGACAATTGCAATTTCTATTCTTTCAATCTAACATTACAGCGGTGGTCGTTGCAGAAACTCCTGGTGCACTTTCCTAGTTATTATGTTTTACAGTTATTCACACAGCACATTTAACCCCTTCAGTCTGACATTGTTTATACGGACAGTGTAGTTTTGCTTTTTTGGGGAGTTTTTTCGCCCAGTCTGTCCCCTGGTGTCCTTAACATCACTTTTACGGAAGACTTACAGCTCACTGTGATGTAGACTGCGTTGCTGCGGCCCTCAGCCCCCTGACACCAGTACAGTCCACTGTTCCCGCTGTCTGCAGTGAACTCACACCGGTCAGACCTGCCCGCACTAACAGCAGCCCCTGGTGAATACGGGTCAGTGTTGGAGACTCTGGGCCTCACTCCAGAGATGGGAGGGAAGTGCTTCAGCCTCCAGCCTGAGGAGTTAGTCTGAGACACAGGGCACTGCACAGTGAAACGTTCCTCTCTGAAAAACTGTCTGGTGCTGGGAGTCAGGGTCAGGAGTGAAGCTGAAGGCAGCTCTGGAGGAGAGAGATGGACAGAGGAGAAGCAGACAATCAGAGATGCAGTTGTTTCATACTGGAGGAGTTAGCAAATGGTTCTATCTTTAGGATTGATAAATGTGTCTGAACACAAAAAAATGCTAAGTCACATGGGACCATAATCCATATAACTACATTGCTGTAAAGTGTCACACAACAACAGTGTATGTATATGTCATTGCAAAACTAGTCTACAGGCAAAATGTAGAGATGAAAAGCACCTAGTAATCTGAAACTCACTCGACAGCAGCAACACTGTAGAAGAAGCAGATGTGTACTGAGATATCAGTTTCATTGCTGCTTTACTTCTGCCATTAATTCAAAGGATATAATGCCCCTTTAACCTAAAACTCAATGTTATGTTTATTTCAGAACACATCATTTTCTAATAATTTTTATTCAGTTTTTAAAAGACGAAACGTATTATATTCAAGCACATTTTTTGCCATATTAGTAGAATGGCTCTGGGAGAGGCCATTACATTGGGTCGGTTTACCACTTGAAATATGTCAACAACCATTGCACCATGCAAGTTTGAGACATTCATGGCCACCAGAGGATGAGTCAAGATTCCTTGACTTTTTCAGTAGTGCCACCATGAAGTTTACATTATGGATTTAAGTGAATTGCCTCAACCGCTAGTGGATGGGTTGCATTTGGTAGAGATGTTGATGTTCCCCTTGTGATTAATTGCATTAACTTGCATTAACTGATTCCCTCAGTTTCTTCTCTAGCGCCATCTTAAGTTGAAATGTAAAATGTGTTAGTAACTGTAAATATGCGTTGCTGCATTAGAAGTAAGTCCTTTCCTCTCTCGTGTGTACAGGAGAAACTGGACGCCTCGCTGCAGAGGGTGTAGCTGCTGCTCACCTGACACACTGAGTGTGGCCGTTTGGCTGAGGAACTCCACTGAGGAGCTGTTGCTGTCCCATCGCCTGGCTTGGCACTGGTAGCTGCCGGTGTCCTCCCTCGTTACCGCGGTGATGGAGTAGCTGTCCCCAAAGACCAGGTGCCTGGGGTTTGGGGTCGGAGGAGCAGAATGTGGGCTGCGCTTTAACCACCCATAGCTCCACACAAAGCTGGAGTTTGACTCCACTGAGCACTGCAGCAACACGCACTCACCCAGGTAGACGTTTGACCCCGGAGGCCACACAGACACGCTGACCTTCAGAGTCTCTGCAGAAGGATGGAAACTCAATTATAGTCTTTTCTGTTCCATGCGTGTGCCGAATATACTGTAAGTGTGTGTGACAGGTGCACGCTCTTTGTCTCAGCCACTACCTGCAGCTGTAGCAGCTTGGAGAACAACTGCAGCTACACCTGAAATACAGAGACATTATTTCACACATATACTTCTCCTTATGTCCTCAAATGCTACCACAGCTTGTTCCTGTAGAGTACTGGCATTTTGGGTACAGTATTTTTAGTCTTCAGTGTGTTCTGCCAATCAGGAGTAAAATGTATTAACGGGAACGCCACAGGCAGCTCAGATGGTTTGTTTCCACATGACGGCACGCCAGATAGTGGACTATGGTCCACTGATTACTTTGGATTATATAACTAAGACAGTATTAAGTCGCATTTCAACAAAGTTCATCTCTACGGGCAGAATCCAACTTTTGTCTCTTAGAAATAACAACAATATATACATATTTGACACAAACACACCAAGCTACATTCCTCACATCACACACAAACACACACTCACTCAAAGGCAGCGCTGCCACACAGTGAGACAGAGGGGAGAGCTTCCTATTCCTTAATGAGACTGTTTAGACAGTATTCATCCCCATGGGAACACAGAGAATGTAAACACATTTGCTGTATCTTCCTGTTAGTTACCCATACACACACAGTGAAACCTATACTAGAGTCAGTTTTTCAACATAATTTATGGCTGTCAAGGATAGAAAAGGCAACACAGTGACTTTGCATTCCTGTCCAAATCATTTCCATTAGCCCTATCCTGATTCTGGCTTGTGCACATCATTTTAATTTAGCACTGGCTGAAACTCACAGCTGCAGACTAACAGCAACCCAGTCAAATGTATTACCCTGCAAAACTACGGAGAGACAGATATCTGCATCAAATGATAGAGTACGGCTTTGGCTCGAAGTCAGCACTTCTCTGGCAGCTGTTGCAGACATTTTCTACTGTCCACCAGTAGAAGATTTTCTTTAATCGAATATCAAATATATCTATTTGTATTATTCCCAGTGGATGCCAGTCGAGTGCAGCCATTCATTAAAAAGAGGCAGGTGTGTGTAAATCAGACAGGTTTTATCTGCGATACTCACCCAGCAGTGAGGAGGTTAGGAGGATGTTCATTCTGTCACCTGTCCGAAATCTGAAGTGCAATAATGATTTCTTAAAATGCTGTTTGTTTCAGAAGTCCATCAGTTTTTCCACAGGCATTTTCATTTGAGAGGCTTTGAGACCGAAAATAATAGTCTCTCTTCTGGGGAGTTTCGACTGACTATCAAAGTAAACCACAGACAGAGATGGTCATCTTGGTGGAGACATTTCCTTCCTCTGGCTAGCTGTTAACAGGCGGAGCCATTAGACAACATAAACCAGGGTCAGGCACTAAAGTAGAGATGTATGATCCCAAACTGCAATAAAACCAATGTACCTTTGACATGCAGTTTTACAGTTTCTTTGTAAAAAAAGGTCTGCCTCTCTGATATCCCTGTAATCCAATCATGTGTTCCACAAACAGTAAATGTGACCTGCTAATTACTTTAGTCTCTTATTATGCTGCTACTGTACATCCCGCTTGGAGCCTGAGACTAAAGATTGTCATTGACTGCCTTTATGTCAATTGTTATGCATATTTGAAATAAAGAAGTTGAACTGCTTTCCAATACTTGGAGCTGATGGCCATTTTGTGTTCAGGGTGCTTTTTAACTTAAAGGGGACCTATCATGCTAAATGCACTTTTGTACGTCTTTTATACATGAATATGTGTCCCCGGTGTTCCAGGGAACCCACCAAGTGTCAGAAAACACAACCCTCTCTCTTTTCCTCCATACCCAAATCTCTAAAAACGGGGCTGCAACGGATCTGATACAGACTGATCCAGATTTGAACATTTCTCTGACAGCTCCGCCTATATGGCCAACTCTCCACGTATCAGGGGAATGAGAGGTTGCCGTGGCATGGTAACAGCATGGTAACATGACGCTCGTAACTCGGCCCCCTCCTTTGCAGGGGGGCGTGGTCAGCTGCAGCGCATGCAAAGACAGGGGTGGAGGAGAGCAAAATAGAGCAAAATGAGGCATGGCTAAAATGCATGATCTGTTTGGTATTTTGAAAAAGAAAACGTATAAATATACCTTATATAGGTATGACCCTACAATATATTATTCAAATATAGCATGATAGGTCCACTTTAATTTAGTTGAGTTCAATCAACTACAATTAGATTACGTTTTGGTAAGGGAATGCAACCCCAGTCTATGCGGCATGCGTCTTTCACTGTGTTTTTAAGTCTCTTCACCACTTTGGTTCAGACTAATCAATTGCCAATTCCAATGATGTTGGTCATCCTCTGAATTATCTACTAACGCCATCATCAGGTAAATGTTTTCAGTTATCCTGTAAAATATTTAAGTAGCCTACTGAATGGACTAGGCATTCAGGGTTTCCAAATGATATACTCTATTTACTTTCTGAATTTCCTGGCATGAGGTTAAAATATTTTGAATGAGTCACAACAACAATTGGATGGAGGGTCATGACATTGTGTACACTTATTTAAAAGAATAATGCAGGCCATACGATTGATTATAAATGTTGTTCATTATATTCAAATACAAACACAGCATCTGTCTTATTTAGTTTATCGCTGTTTCTTGCACTTTTTGAATTCAAAACACAGTGAATTGTCAATGAATTTCTGTAATTTCTGTTAGTGCTCTGTGCTTTTCCCAGGTAACCACAGCTTGCTCATTATCGCTCGGATCCCCGCCCACTCCTCATCACTCTGCCCCTCCCTCCACCTCCCGTCGCTCCCACATCCAGCCTCCCTACATTCACACGGGTTTCTTCCAGGAAGCGCGTCGGGCAGTCGGATGCTCAGCTGGAATGCCTGGGAGAGAGACCATCCTTTTTGTCAATTTCTGAGAGAGAGAGAGAGAGAGAGAGAAGAGAGAGAAGAAGGAGAGAGAGAGAGAGGAGAGAGAGAGAAGAGAGATAGGAGAGGAGGAGAGAGAGAGTCGAGAGGATAGAGCGAAGAGATAGACGAGACGAGAGAGAGAGAGAGAGAGAGAGAGCGAGATGAGCAGGAAGAGAAGAACAGTTGGGAGGGAGAGTAGGATGTGGGTTTGGCAAATAGGAGAGAGCATCAGACATGGCTTCTAAAGAGATCACTGCTTTTGGTTTCGTGAGCAAAGAAATCACAGGTGGGTAACGACTGCTGCCCGGTTATTTTGGTTCCGTGTTGTGTCTTGTTGCAGGTTGTAACCGCGGACACCCTCGGCGTGTCTGCGTTATGTTGGGATGCTTTTTCTCCGCGCGTCTGCAAACCGAGCAGACGCATTGGAGGATAGTGAGGAGCTACACCTTTACATTCTGTCCTGTGGCTTTCCGGGCCGGCTTTGTCCTTCATGGTGCAATCAGTTATTGTGCAGATGAATAATGTACAGTGAAGGGGAACTATAGCTTGTTTTACATGTGCCCCCTCGGCTAAAATCAGGTAATGAAAAGCCCAGCCTTAGGCCAGAGAGGAAAAGGGGCGTTGTGGGAATTATGGTGTGTACTCTTGGGTTTCAAAGCGATTTAAATGTTGCACGTTTTTTTGTTTTTTTTACCAAGAAACCTGTCTCCGAATAGGATTCCCTCTGTAAACCTCACCCCTGGAGTGTTTTATCTTTGTTTTTCTGTTGCCTAATCAGCTAGAGTGCTATAGGCTAGTGATTGTCCGCGTGCGTGTGTGCGTGCGAAAGTGAACAGAGAGGGACTGATGGAGGCAGATGTTCACTGTATCTTGCCAACAAAAATGCATAAGCTAAACCAACCCACGACAGAATGCACAAATATTTAGGATTTTTATCTCAAACAGCAACAGCTTACACATGCCAAAGTCACAGCACAGCAACGCACGCGCACACACGCACACACTGAACACATGCTCGTGGGTATCAAGGACTCTACTGCTGCGTTAATTACTCCTAATGGCTCTATTAGGCGCACTGTGATGATGATTAATCCACTGGGGTCCATGCCTCCTCCTTCAGTCACCTGCAGGGTGGCTGCACCTCCTCCTCGTGCACCTACTGCACTGACTGACAAGAGGAGCACTGATGGGGGCCCTAAACAACCTGAATATGACCTGAGTTCAGATCTGGATGGATTATTATTAGAGTTTAGCCTTTATTCCGTTTCAGATGTAATCAGATTAACTGTATTAATCTTGTGGTCCTTGTCATTTTACAGCAAATGCATTTTCTTTTTTAGGCTCGGAGAGTACGCCCAATCTGTCTTGTAACATACCACCTATAATACTGTAATATACTTTTGAAAAGAGGAAAGGTATTCTTATTTTTACTTATGATCTAAAAGAAGAAATACTACAATCACTTTTTTTAAATTAAAGTCATAACTTCAAAAAGTACAAGAGTGTTCAGTATATGTATTGTGTGTCAAATATGTTTCCATTTTTGTAGCACAATGGACCCTGTCAGTGTCTATACTATGAGATTATAAGATTATTATCAATGTTATATTTTATTTTGTAAAATCTTCTTCTGTAAAGTAAGTATTATAGACAAATGTAGTGGAGTAGGAGGTTTAATATATAAGAGTTATGTGCACCTAAAGATGGATAAACACTGCTGAAACAAGGGGAAAAGTAGCCTTTCTCTCCAGTGTGACTGTATCAACACCTCTAACAAATCCCAGCGTCTTGGCTTTAGTATTGATTTTCTCATAAACCCATCAGTCTGGAAAGCTGTGCAGCCTCAGTAATGGAGAGGCTGAATCATATAATTCCTGCTAGCGACTATGTGTCTGTGATGTGTCACTGCCGTGTGGTCCCACCCGGGTGAGACTCTTCCTGTGGCACGACAGGCAGTGCTTGTGCCGTATAGGTTAGGGGTCACAGCACTGACAGTGATGCTGTTTGACAGGAACAGCTCTCAGTGAATCATAAACACTGTTGCTCCTAAGTGTCATTTGCTCTCGTTAGGAAGAAAATGACACTAAAGCATGTTGTGAATAGTTTTGATAGATATAGAGTATATCTGTGAATGCACTGGGCAGAACTCATTGAGTGATACAGGGGAACATAACTGTTGTATTTCTTAAGTCAATCTGTGTGTCAGCCATACAATCCAGACTTGTTCCCACCAAATGTCGGTCATTTTTGATTCAGAGTAACATGCAGATTGAATTGTATTGCATGGAAGAGGTTTGTAACGTATTTAAAATCATCAGGATCAAATCAGACACAAGAGTTGATTCGATTATTGTATCATCTGAAATGCCACAATGCTGTTCAAATGATAAGATTGACATTTCCTTTAGATAAACAAATAAATACAGAGCTCTACATCCAAGGTTACGGGGATATAGAGTGCAGTTTGACTTTTACTAATTTGATTTGATGTGAAATTACCAAATTGGTCATTTGGATGCTTTTGAACTATTTTTTGAGCAATGGCTTTTATTAGAAGTTTGACTGTATTAAGATGACAGGAAATGAGCTAAAGATATGGGGAATAATATTCATCCACATCACTGGCCGGTCTCCAACCAGATACATTGCAGTTAATAGTCAGTAACTTAATACCTGAAACACTGCCGTGCCCCTGTTTTACACCATGTACTATACAATATGTTGTAGTGTTTTTAAGGTTTTTTTCACTTTACTTGGAAATCAATTAAGACGAGATATGAAAATCAATCTGCAGACAGCAGGTAGATAAACTACAGTAAGAATATCTCTTCTTATTTTAGTCCAAATAATATATTTCTAACTTTATTTTTCTACTTTTTCATCCACAGAAAGCATCAAGAAGATTATCGATAAATCATCGATCAAGTTTATTTATGGAATCAAGCTTGACGCCAAAAATGGAAAAACAGAGGACAGGATACTGGTAAGCTGCTGCTTTCCGTCTGTTCACTGAGGGGTTTTAATGGGTCTCTGTTGAACACTAACACTGGGTTTCTGATGTAGAATAATTTATTCTATAGCCCTTAAAGCAGTCTGATACCTGCACGATGTGCTATCAGATATCTAGAGTGTTAATTGATCTCAGCCACAGTGTTGACACCAAGGACAGCACAGGTAGAGGCTCTGTATGATTGTGCACATCATTAACAAACTGCATGATAACGGTCCGCTCTCTTCTATGGCTGCTGCTGGCAGAATGAATATTGGTTAGACAGTATCTGTGGGAGCGGCTGTGCATACCTCCGTGTCTACTGTGGAGGCTGTGGGGGGGGCCGAACAGCTCACAACCTTTGATTCTGGGGTGCTTTCATCAGAGAATATGGGACAGAGATGTGACATCTCTTTTTGAGTGAGTGAAGCTCAGCCAGCTATCTGGATAAATCTGGGGCAATTAGCTCTTACATTATGGACCAGAAGTCTTATAGGACCCCGAAAGGAGGAAGCTTTTATTTGCAGAATGCAGTGGACTTGTGCATGAAAGCACACACAGATAACATACTGTGTATATACAGTACCGCAGCTATTATTGATTGAAAACTCCTATAAGTGCAGCAAATAAAGCAAGTCTGTATAAGCAAGATATTTTCCGATTCCCAGGCCAACTGTGAGGAAGTCAGTGTAGTTTTAACACAGTTGTCCCTCGACTCAATGGATGCTTTAATGATTCATCATGTGATGAGGAGGAGAGTTCAGTCTTTGATATTCAGACACTTTGACTTGTCTATCTGTCGGGAACATCTCTCTAATCCACGTCTCATTTACTGCTTCTTCTTAAAAGCTGAACTGGAAAGAGTCCTTGCTCCTGCTGGGTGTGCATAGAGGACGGAAAAGAGATTGGAGCATGATCAAACGTGCAGGGTTACATTTTTGAAGGAAAGCTGAGCTTAAACGTGTTAAGGTTTTAAATCGAAGCTTTGTTTAGGTTGAGATCTGTCACTGTATAGGTTGCATGAGTTTATCTTGATTTCTTACAAGAGAAGATTAGACTATCTGTCCTGTTTCAGCCCTCTTGCTTAATTCTACACCGCCATAAGCCTGATGTTTGTGTGGTCTCTCTTTGATGTGGGATACTCGGATACGTCTCTCTCTCTCATGCTGCATCAGCATGATTTACTCCTGTTTACTCTTACGCTCTCTAAACTAATTCCCCGTAATGTGATGCAATCTGGTCTTCTTAATCAATTCCTTCAGTCAGTCTTTGTAGTGATTGCAGAACCTCCTCTCTCTCCCGCCATCTCTCACACATTTTTGAGTAACTTCATTTCCGACACCTCACATGCCGCGTGGGTGTGTGAGGCCATCGGTGTGGGGTTCTGACAGGCCTGTGTCAAGCTCCTCTCTCCAAAAAACACAACATTGGAGTGGGAGAGCTCTAATTTAATTACCACTTTTCATTGGGGAGAGACACATGGAGGGGGGGGCTCTGTCCTGAGGGAGTGTTTTACCAGAGCCATAGAGGAGAATGGAGTTAATGATTGGGAGTGACGGAGCAGAAGAGGAGAAGAAAAAGAGCCAAGGGCAGAACTCTGGGGCTGGTGGAGAGCAGCGAAAAGCCAAACAATCCCTGCACTTTGTTTACCGTGATGGAGAGAGACTCAGACTTGTTTAGGGTTCAAGGTTCTTTATAGGGTGTGCTTGCAACACACTGCTGCTCATGAACAAGCATCAGGAGCAGAATCAGATTTATCCAACAGTTGCATGACACACGTTTCCATGCTGGGAATACGTGGATACAGGCATGGAATAACTGCATGTGCTCTTTCAGATTGAGATTAAAATCAAACTCAGTTTTTCTATTAAATTACCAGCCAGGTCCAAATTCCCATCAACTTTGCATTGCGCTAAAAAATATCCCACGCACTTATGACTGCAGACGGCAAATTAGCAGAGGTAGTGTAGCAAAATGTGCTAATTTGGCATCCTGACCCAGCATGACCGGCATGTCTGGCTCCGGAGCAGAATCGAGATGTGAAGGAAAACATAATTTACTCCGGACAAAAGGGGGTCCTTTCCTTTAAATTCTGATATTAAAGATCTGGGGAGATGCTGAATGAGCAGAAATGATTGCCTGCTGAGCCCAAAGCCACACCGCATGACTTAAATCCAATATATTGTATGAGATCATGTTTGCACAGGAGACGTAATGTACTGCTAACTAAATTACATCTAGTATTTGTGAGAATGTGATTAAAATGTTGCAACATGCCGTCATCTTCAGCCTATATCTCAATCCGTTAATGTTAGACAACCTATCTCTGATGCAGAGAGCTTTTAGCTGAATCAATACATGAATATGAAACTGAATTTGTTCCCTCTCATCATTTCCATGGAAACTCCTGGGAGAATTGCCGTGAACTTTCAGTTACACTTACAGTTTCTTATTTCCCCTTTTTTAGGTCCTCACAACATGGCGTATTTATTTCCTGGCTCCAAAGATTCCCGCTAAGGTACTTGTTCTTACCCCTCTCTGTCTCCATTCACTGTGCAGTATGTAGCTTTTTCTTTCAAATTGCCAGCTGAGATCTTTGATTTGTCGACTGTATCTGAACAGGTGGAATCCACGTTCAACTTCTTGGAGATTCGAGCTTTGAATTCCCACCCTGATCACCAGGTGAAGATAAACAATATTCCTGAACTCTGTACGCACTCAGCTCCACTGTCACAGCGTATGGTTTGTGTGAACAATTGTACAATAGAGTGGTTACATCACTTTGGCCTTCAAGAAATGACAAAAGGCATTTAAAGAACTGGTCGAAGCAACTACAGTGAGATTCAATGGGCTCCTTTTGACTGTTTTCTCTTCTGTTGTTGATTGTGTCAGCAACAAGAGTAACTGCTTAGGGACTTATTAAGGGAGAGAGGTGTTTATATTTTAGCCTTTGTTGTCACAAATGATGGCTTTAGTGTGCACCACAGGTCATTAACCTGCACTCTGTCATATGCAGAGGACATCAGTATTCAATCTCAATGTTTAGGGCCAGATTTCCCCATTACACTCAACTATCGTATACAGCCGTATAAATATCATATTTATATACATATCATACAAATGTAATAGTCTGCATGATAATTTGAAGTTCCCCCTTGAAGCTGAACTGTTATTTAATATTTTTATTCTAAAACAGAGAGTTGCTTGAATAATCCCAAAATAGCTATTCTATATTCAACTTATAATAAACTCATTATTGGCTATATAAATTAATAAAAATAGGTTTAATTTGTATTAGATTGTCTTATTTTGTATTTGTCAAACTCAGTACTGTACTTTAGGAAGAGAGAGTTTGTACTTTTCATAAAGTAAGTCAAGGGGAGGATTGATAAGATAAACCCCCTCCTTACCATAATGAATCTCATACAGTCCCTTACACTTCCCTTTTCTGTGCAGGTTATCATCGACACTGACAAGACCAGCTACTCCCTGAAGTTTGAGTCACGTGACCACCTCAATCATGTGGTCAGCCATATTAATTACGCTCTGTCTCGAATATTCAACAACTCCATTTTTGCGTAAGTATCACAAGAACAAATATCTGAATACAGCAGATCACATGTCAGAGAGTTTGTATCTTTAATTCACCTTTATGAATGACATTATCTGAAGTAAATTATTCCAAACCTTTTGTTCTTTTATCTTTGAAGCCCTTCCATCTGTCATTCAGACAGTGACCTTTCTGAGGGGAGCAGGAAGTATTCACCCAGCTCAGAGACTTCAGTGGAGACTCAGAGGGCGTGTGGTAAAATACACACTATCATCAAACCTGGGAATTTACACACATGCAGTCACACACACACACACACACACACACACACACACACACACACACACACACACACACACACACACACACACACACACACACACACACACACACACACCGATTAGGGGCAAATGCACAACAATTGGCAGCCTGGAGAGGAAGTTGGCTCACAAATTTCACAAATGGTGTCCCAGATGCTCTTTTTAAAGTGCTCTGTCACAGAAATAAAAGATTGATAATTTGGACAAATGTTTCTTTGTGCATTTTCCTGCCTTTTCTCTCTTGTTGTAGTGCAAGGAAGCAGCTGTTCACATCCTCTCAGATTCATATTTCTGCCTCTTGTTTTTCCTACTGCCTGCCCCTCTCAGGAGGCTTCTCGGAGACATACGCCGCTCTGTGCGACTATAATGGCATCAGCTGCAAGGAGGAAGTGCAGTGGGTAAGAGCTGTGGGACTGTGCCTGTGTCGCTGTGAGTGCTTTTGAGTGTTACGTACAGCACTGTGCACTAAATGAGGGGGTCATATACTGCAGCAAACAGGCTCATGGGTAATGTTGCTCCTAGGATGTGGACACCATCTATCACTCCCAGGACAGCCGAGAGTTCAACCTGCTGGACTTCAGCCACCTGGAGAGCAGGTGAGGGACAAAGAGCGGTCAGACACTATAAACTGTATAATATGGCGCCTCACTCACTTCAGTTTGGATCTATTTCAGGGATTTGGCGGTTATTGTTGCATCGATGGCATACAACACCTGGTTCACTAAACTGTACTGCAAAGACCTGCGGATAGTAAGTATGAACTGTTGAGTTATTAAAACTACTACTTGTTCTCCCAAGCTTTTGCAGACCACGCATCAGTCTGTGTTTTTTAAATTGGGGTTTTCTATATTGTTGTGTTTTCAAATGTTTTTACATCGTGTATGAGAGTTTTTCAGTCTGTGGCTATAAGTATGGTTTTATTGTCTCGTGCTTTTACATTTGTTTGTTGTCCTATCGGTTTTGTCTAAATGTATTTATGCTGCTTTTTATATATTTATTGATGTACAGCACTTTGGTCAACTCTGTTGTTTAAATGTGCTATATAAATAAAGTTGGATTGGATTGGATAAAAGTGGCGTAGAGCTGAAACAAGTGCAATGTTTAGTTATAATGTTGACTTTTTCCTTCAGGGGTCAGAGGTCACTGAGCAGGTCCTGCACACGGTCAGCAAATCATCCAGCCTGGAGGAGATCACTCTGGAGAATGCTGGGTTAAAATCGTACGTTTTTGTTACCTCTCTTCATTTTTTCATCCATTTAATCTTCTATCAACTCACAGGAGAACTACTCAGTCTGTGAACACAGTTGTATGAAGTGTCTGGGGCTTTGAAAGAAGCTCTCTAAAGTCTGACAAATCTCAGAGGGTTTGAGACTAGTTTGAACAAAGCCTACTTTAGAAACTTTGCCTTTTGAAAGATGTGAAGATTTACCATTCAGGCGGCTCCAATGAACATCTCTATGAAGCTGCATTATGGGAGGAGGTTTTTAGAACTTGCACTATATCTGCATAAAACATATATCTCTGATGCAAAGATGGGAACTCTTCCTTTTTAAATCTATCCTTTGGAAGTCTATATAAAAGATTAATGCTAAATCTCTACAATGTCACTTTAAATTGTTGTGTGTGTTTACTTTACAGAGACTTCCCACAGAAGATGTCAGCTGCTCTTTCAGAGAACCCTTCCTCTGTCATCCACTCCCTCAACTTGGCCCACAACTCTCTGGACAACCAAGGTGCAAAGACATTCACCTCTCTCTGGTTGTCTCATTTACTCATCAAGTATGGTTGTAATGTCTTCTTTAACTAAATGTTTATACCTTGTGTATGCATGCTGCAGGAGTGTCCAACTTAATTCAGCAGGTGTGTCGCCTCAGCAAGGGTCTTCGTCTCCTCAACCTCTCCAAGACTTCACTCACCTCCAAAGGTTTGGGCTTGCCTCTCTCCATGTTCTGCCTTGCAGTTCCGTATTAATGGTTCAATAAAGTCAGAAAGTGTTGCCAAAATTCAACAACTCACCAAAATCAGGTGGAAAATGTGTGATATTAAACCTGTAACAGACTTTTTGAAGCGGTGGATGACTCAACAGCTCTGGTTAGATATAAATGCGGCAGTATAACCCCCCAAAGCCCCAGATGATTCTCCCTCCTGTAGAGCTGTGTTTCATGTGTTGGCCCTGTTATGACTCCATATTGACTTTTGATGTCTTGCGCTGCCCCGCAGGCAGCAAGCCTCCTGTTACCGTCTCATCTTAGCTTGTTCCCAGCCGAGAATTTAAATATTACATTGAAGCAGGGAGATACTATGCACTGCTTCCCATTACAGCCATTGATACCCGCTGCTGTAGATGTGTATGAATTATGTAAAGGAACAAAATGTTTTGAGTGTTTCCCTTCTTTTAATATTGTACTACTCGTCTCATCTCTCTCTCTTTCTTTTCATCCGTCTCTCAGGAGTAGTGTCTCTCTCTCAGGCTCTGTGCTCCAGCGATGAGTACTCTAACTCCCTCCTGCACCTTGACCTGAGCAAGAACCCCGGGGTCCTCTCGGGGGAGGATTCCTCGGTCAGAAAGCACAACCAATGTGGAAATAAAAACGATATTTATACACCACTTTTCATGCTTAATATAACTTCCTCTCTTTTCTATTTCCAGAACTTGTATCTGTTCTTGTCTCAGCCCAACTGCCTGGTCCATTTGGATCTGTCAGGCACAGATTGCTCTGTGGACTCGGTAAGTATTTCATGTCTGGAAACGATCCAATGTTTGTGTGCAACGTTTAAAATAAATGCATTTCTCTCTCTCGCTATGCTCAGCCTTGATTAACCGTTTCCACCCTGTGTCTCATGCAGCTATTTGGGGCTCTTCTGAGGGGGTGTTGCGCCGATCTTTCCTTTCTGAATCTTTCCAAAAATTCCTTCTCCCACAGGTTAGTCATATCTTAAAGATTACCTAAACAATAAAGGCAGCCGCAAATCCAAATCTGGGAATATATCATCTTTATTTCACAGTAAATGCTCTTATCTTTCATTCTCTTTCAATACCACTTTCTTTTTTCATCTTTATCTTCATCTCTTGCTTAATGGGAATTCAGAAATGAGCTTTGTGGGTACATTGTGCTTCATCTGTGGGTGTGTCTACTGACGCTCCGAACCAGAACTCCTGGCGCTGTCTGCATAGATAAGTCTCATGAATATTTATGCAGAAGCTATCTACCATTTGACCCCACTTGCTCCCCCGCCCTCTTACTCCAAAGCAATAGTCACTCTGATTCCCATTCAGTGTCAGTGCTCTACTCTCAGCTCTGCTCTCGTATTTAACCACCATGTCAACAATGTGACCTAACCTCTTCTGTGTGGCGGCCTCATTCCCTCCTAATCTCCAGTCTTGCCTCTTTTTTTATCATTTTCTTTTTTATATGCACTAGGAAAGTGAAGGACACGCTGCCGCTGTTAAGTCAGTTCTTCAGCTCAGCCTTCAGCCTCACTTATGTCAGTATGGCCTCTATGAAGCTGCCCCCTGATGTTCTGAGGTACTCGCCATGTCACCTCTCTAACTCCATCCAGATCTGTTTCCTTTTATCTAAACCCTTCTACATTAAAGGACATGAATATCTGCAGTTTCCGCTCCTTATCTGTTCCCCGTCTTTCACTTCTGTCCTTCCTGTCTCCACAGAGCTCTCCTAACAGGGTTAACCTCCAATCCTCATATCAATGACCTTCATCTCGACATCAGTGGCTGTGAGGTAAGAGTTCACCTCTATCTGCATGGGGCTCTAAGCTGAAGTTAAAGGGATAGCGCCGTATTTCCTCGTCATCTAACTGCAGTTTAAGCATGTATAAAGTATTTAAAATCAAGAGTTCATCATGTGGGCTCATACAAGAGTAAATACGATTGTTACCTTGTGGAAAACATTTAAAAGAATCTGGTATTTCACTCATTGTATCCTGTATAAAGAAATGTACGAGACATTCAGGTTTATGAATGTGAAGAAAAGCTTTGTAGCTGAAGAAAAGCATAACGTCTGAATGAAATTGAGAGGTAAAACAAAGCTCTAAGCTATGTCTGAAACACAAAGTTCCCACACTCTGATTGACGCTGAAGTCACACATCGGACGACACATTCAAGTCACAAGTACAATGCTTGGCACTGCTTTCACAGCTGAAGTGAAGGCCACAGATCCTCACAGCTGATACAATTTGTACAATTTATTTCATTCATTATACAGCATTTAGAGTTTTGAATGTAAGCTTTTTTAATATAGGTGAGAAAATGACTACAGTCACTTGTATTTACTTGTGTAAATGTGTTATTGGGCCTTATTTAATCTCATATTAATTCACCTCACTGGCAAGGGGAAGAGTTTTGATTCAGATTATCCCCCATTGCAAACATTTCTGTAGAACTACTTTATTCAAATAAAAAGACCACAGGAGTAATGTCAGCTGAATTTTCAATGTACCTATGCTGAATGTGTGAGCGACATTTTCATTTTGAGTCTGATTTAGATTGTACTTACCTAGTTTAGTTAGTGAGTTAAGGAGAGAAGCCTGGTTTTACTGGCCCATACTTTTTAATTTGCATATTTTTAAACTTGCTAATTTGACTACTAAGCAGTTCTATTAAATGATTTCCAACATCCTATCACTTCCTGTTAATGTGCACCCAAAGCTTTGATGATTAAAACAGCTCTAGCTTAATAGGATATTTATATATTTACTTGTTTAAAAAGCGCTGAGTCAACAAAATATGTTTTCCCTACCACTGAGCAGAGCTGCTGCAGATCACAGGCAAGGCAGAGCGTACCATTCAACAAACCTTCACACTGCTTGCAGTAAGGAGATAGATTTGTCATAATATTGCAGACACGTAAAAAAGGCATTTGTAAATCTGCCTCAATGTGGAGAAATAGAAGAACTCACCAAAGACTTAAACAATAAAATGGCATATTTGGTTCTCCTTTATCTCTTTCTTTCTCTTCCTACATTGTATTTCTCTCTCTCCAGCTAAGGTCTGCAGGAGCTGCTGTAATCCAGGAGCTCTTCCCCAGGGTCTCCTCTATCGGCACTCTGGATATCTCAGACAACGGTACAGTGGCACGCTTCACCACATCTCTCTGTGACCTTGACTCTTTGTCCTAGGGCAGGCAAGGCTTGAGTGGGATGTTAATGAATCAAGCCATGTTGTGCTCTATATATATGTGTGTGTGTATGTGTGATGACAGGTCTCGATGCAGACTTGCTCACAGTACTGCCGGCCCTCTCCAGACACCCCTCCCTGAAACATCTTCACCTGGGCAAGAACTTCAACATCAAAAACAGGTGCTGTCGGTGCTCTGTGTCACACTTTGCTGCAGTCTTTTTATTTCATTATAGTGTACAATAATCGATGCCATTTCATTTACATTGTAATATCACAGTACACTCACTGCACTCCCCCCTCCCTCCCTCCACCCGCACATGTCCACACAGGCAAAACCAAAACATGCTTATCAAGATAACTTAAACAACAGAGCCATGAAAAAGAAAAAAAAAGAAGAAAAACATCAAAGTAAAACAAACAAATAATTATACAATACAGCGACAATGTAGACAATGACAACACCACAACTAGTATTTCCGGCCGTCAGGACTAATAGCCACAGAATGCACCATTCCATCACTGGTCATATCTCAGATATATTTTCCAAATAAGAAAACAATGGCAACCACAGAGCTTGAAAAATATGTCCACGATTATATTTTTCCAATGTCATTTTCTCCAGAGGTAAAAAATGTGTTATCTGAATAAAAGTATACATTTCTTGGCAAAATATGTTATTGTGATTAGTATTCTGTCATGTTTGGGATTCAGTTTAAAGTTTGGCATGTCATTTAACAGGAAATGCTGCAGGTTTTTGTGTGCACGTGTGTGTCCGTGAACACGAGGCCGTGTGCGATAGATATGCCAGCTTAAATATACGTGCCTGTGATTTGACTTCCGTTTTCATAAGAGGCTGCCGCTCCTCGGGAAGACAGCCCGCCGGCAGCAGGAAATGACTCGCGCAAACTCATCCAGTGGTCTCTCTGTTTGTGTGCAGGGTTCTGGATGAAGTCCTGCAGAAGCTGGTGCAACTCATACAGGAAGAGGAATGTGTGAGTGATAACAAAGGAAATCGTGAAAACGTACTGGATGATGCAAATGTACCACTAGTTTTACTTAATAATAAATCATCCGACTGCAAAGACACAGAAAAGATCCATCCATTGTGGAAGGCAAACAATATTAAAGATAGGAATAATTGACTTAAGATTTGATTCCTGGACACATCATTTTTCCATTATGTTTCACTGTACTGTAGATGTGACACTGTATCATTACTTGTTAATGCCTCTGTAACCCTTGGGGCTATATCACTACACTCATGGTAAATAATTCATACATACATCATGTAAAGTCATGTTGGCGAGCAGTCACATTACAGCGCAGTAAATTCACCACTACACTTTCACCTCACTTCTCTTTCCACTGTTACATTTTTCTCTACTTTATTTATTCCTACACAACCCCCCCCAACATACATACACACACACACACACACACACACACACACACACTGACCTTTTGTTTCCTCTCCAGGCCCTGCAGTCTCTGTCCCTTATCGACTCGCGCCTGCGCTCTCGGGGGACGGTGCTGGTTAACGCCCTGGGCAGCAACACCTGCCTGAAAAAAGTAGACCTGAGCGGGAACAACATGGACGACATCGGAGCCAAGATGCTGAGCAAAGCCCTGCAGATCAACACCACGCTCAGGTGAAGGGAAATACATGTAGAGAATGTGTATTTATTTGTTAGATTAACTTGCACTTTGCATTAATATTTGTATTCATGCAACTCACCACTTTGCCCTGCAGGAGTGTGACATGGGATCGCAACAACACCTCCGCAGCAGGATTTCTAGATGTTGCCAGAGCACTTGAACAGTAAGAGCATTAAAACATCAACATATTTAGAAACAGTGATATATGTTCCTTCTTTTTAAGAGCTTTTGAAACATTGGTGGGTGGATGAATGTTTAAATTTGCATTGTCAACGGAGACAATTGTTGCTTTCCACTTTGCTATCCTAAATGGTACAGGCTTACCTTTAGGCTAAGGATGATATGGTTGCAAATATGAAAGTATTACTCACTCGCCGCATGGCATAGGAGGGATATTTTAGGATGAGCTCTGTCCATTGGGGATATTAACCTTAACTAACCCTTGAATCTGTAACCTACTTTATTTTTTCTCTGTGGTCATTTACTGTCTCTTTCAATAACTTTACCCTTCATCTGTCCCTTCCTCTTCCTGCTTCCTCTCTAAGTAACTTCATCCTGCAGTATATGCCTCTACCCCTAAGTGACATCAGCCAGGCGTACCGCAGCGCCCCCGAGAGGACAGAGCAGGCACTGACCAAGGTTGGCAATCGGAGACAAGCCACTGTAACAGTTCTTGTCAGAAATTCAACTTAAATGAAACAGAGTCAACTAAAACGGGCAGATTTGATGAAGCTTATATACGTTTTTTTAATCATTTGTTTTTGAACCATTCTTCCTTCAATGGCTTTGGACAAGATACCAGCACCATTTAAAGGGGACCTATCATGCAAAATGCACTTTTGTACGTCTTTTATACATGCATATGTGTCCCCGGTGTTCCAGGGAACTCACCAAGTGTCAGAAAACACATTTGAACACTGTCCTGACGTCAGGACAGTGTTCACATCTGGATCAGTTTTTATCAGATCCGTTGCAGCCCCTTTTTTAGAGATTTGGGTATGGAGGAAAATAGAGAGGGTTGTGTTTTCTGACACTTGGTGAGTTCCCTGGAACACCAGGGACACATATTCATGTATAAAAGACGTACAAAAGTGCATTTTGCATGATAGGTCCCCTTTAAGTTTTCCCAAAGCAGTTACAATAGTTTATTTTTTAAATAACAATGTATCAAATTACATTGTGTCCCATATTGAATCTCTTTTGGCTCGGTTTTTAGTCGCTATCAACTCCTGTGGGAAATAACTGGCTCTTTAGCTGCTAAAAGCTCTGCTGTTTTATTCAGCACTCTGCTAAATGTGTCTGTCTGCTGTTTGGAGCTGAGGAGGTATTGTAGACTAGGTTTATAGAGTGTTTATTCTGTAAATAGCTGCCTGCTGCGGCTGAAAAACAATACTGAGAGCAGAGAGAGGGAGCCCAAACAGTAAAGCTGCAGCGGCACAGATAAACTTTGAGCTGAAACTTTCTGTAAAGTGGAGACAAGCTGCAGAGAGTAAAATGTAAGTCTTGGAAATAATATAATAAAAAAAAGGTTTCTATAAAAAGGAAGCTTATAGCTTGCTGCACTTAAAGATTCATATTAGGTAAGTTTAAGAAAGTTAACTTCGATCAATTCAGTTGTGCTTGGAGGCAGACTGTGCTGTAAAAAGTACACATTTGAACTGAAACAACATAAATATATGGAAACTGAAACATCAGGAAAGTAACATTTTTGCCAGAGGAGGTTAATAATTAATCTTCAGTTTGTGATTCTTTTTAATACTGCCGCAAACGTATACAAATAGAACAACTCAAGTTTCCTACTTCTTTTTCCAAGAGTGCTGCAGTCATTTCTGTAGTTTTAGCTGCCTGTCAATTTAATTGTGTTTAATTATTATTTTTTCCTTTTTGCCAGTTTCTACTTTCAATATTGCTCATTTAACCTCAAACGCTACCATAGAGGGTACAGTTATTAGAATAAAAGTAGCAGCAAAGAAACTTGAAGTTTAAAGAATCGGCTGTTGGCTTCATACAAGTGGGAAGAAAGTGCTTGTAGAACTGTTCATTTCTACAACAAAGGTTTTAAGAGGGTTAGTAAGATGGATTCTACAAACATCTCAGCCTCGAGATGTTTTTGGTAAATAGGGCAAAGACATTTGAAAACCAAAATGAGACAGCAGCCTCTCCTCTGCCTCCTTTTCTCTGCTTCATTGCACTTTATTTCCTCAACAATCTATCTGTTGCATCATCGCCTCGTCTTTCCCATCTGTCCTCTTTAGTGTTTTTGTAGCCAGTTTATTTTCGTCACTTTTCTGCCTCCCAGATCCAGCGCTCTCTGGTGAGGAACAACCAGACTCAGCGCTTCTCTCAGAGGCAGGCTCTGCGGCTGCACCAGGGCCTGGTCACCAGCACTTCCGAACAGGTATCACTCCCTCCTCCTGCCGTATGTTTATGAGTGTTTTATTTATGATTGCGCTCTTAACACTCCTGTCTGTTTCCAAGGTGATGGAGCGCCTCTGCGTGCGTGTCCAGCAGCAGGTGTGTGTGTTACGAGGCGCCGGAGAGATGGAGGAGATTCAAGCTGCTAAACAAGTGTTAAAAGAGGCCAGGAACTCCCGTGCTGTGAGTGATGTGAAATGTGTGAGCGTACTATATGCATGACTGTCACACAGACATTGAAATATGTGTTTTCTCTTCTTTAAGCTGTACCCTTCACTGTGTGAGCTGGCTCATGTGCTGTCTGTGGACGGGCCGGTGCGGCAGAAACTGGACTCTCTGGCTGGAGAACTCGCCAAAGCTGCAGACAAAGAGCTGCAGGTAGATCTAACAGCTTCTTTCAACACCATGATCTCTCTCGTTATATGAGTTACTGATCATAATGTCCAGGGACTTTTCACACGGAGAGAAAACATACACATGTTGAGGGGAAACTGCATCTCATAAAACCACCCAAATTCCAAACTTCATTGCATCACAACAGTGGCGTAACTATCGACGGTGCAGCCGGCCCAGAGCAGAAACAAATATGAACCAAAACATAAAATAATGCACAAACCCAGAGCCGGCCAGGGGCCCATGCAAAAAAAATTAAAATAAATATATATTTTTTGACATTGACCGGTTCACGCAGTCTTCAAAGTAACCAAGCAACCTCAATTAATTTGTAATTTGTCTGTCCAATGACGTTGCTCCCTTTCATGTCATGTGATACCTTGCGTGACGAGCGACCCGTTTAATCAACCTGTACTGTACTGTAGCTAGCAGTAGCAAGTTCGGCAGCATTATTAAAAAATGTAATAGCTTGCATTTATAAACTACAGCAAACCAAAGCACAAGAGCGGCGCTCAAAAGAGAAAGGACAAGAGAGAGTGTGTGTCCGTGCATGTGTGAGCGCATCAGCGTGCACTTATGTTTGGGGCGATGGGGGGGGGGGGCCCAAAACAATATTTGCACCGGGGCCAATCACAACCTTGTTACGCCACTGCATCACAACAAAAGGTGTTCATCTGTGGAATAACTGTAATGTTGAGCTGAAATACTGTGCAACTTTATCTAAACTACAACAATTATTTAGAAACCAAATCCTGAATGGTTATGAGCAGGACCTGTGAAGTTATGCTTGCTATGTCTTGTTGTTGTAAAAGTTATTTGTTTTTGGTTGTTTTGTAAAAAGAAATTATTTGTTTAAAACAATGAATCAAATATCACGGATGCTGATGACGATGACCTAAACTTTTATTTTCATGAACAATGTACGCTAGAGGGGATAGGACCAGAAACGTTTTTAAGCTTCTTCTTGCCCCTTTTGAACATTATGGAAACTATTTGCGAATTTTTATTTTTATTTGTTTATACCTTGAAGGTTTTTTTATTTTGCTTCTCTTCATTATAATAATTATTATTGTTTGTTTTGTTTCAAACATGTTCAATAAATTGACTAATAAAAAAAAATCGCTGGCATCCATTGCAGGTGATCGTGGACTCCATGGTGTCCCTTTGTTGTGAGCTCTGCCCTATATCTTCTTCTGCGGCAGAGAGGCTAAGTCCTCCACTATCATCCGTCTCCGAGCGCGTGTCCATCCCTCGCTCTGCCATCCGGACAGCTCTGATGGAGAGAGCGGCGCAGGACATCCACCGAGCCTTAGAGTAAGAGACAGATGTGGAAAAGCAAAAAGGGAGCGCCGCAATAAAGGCTTGAATTTGATAACTATGTTATTGATTTCTTCTTACTTCTCCAAACCTCTTTCCGTCCATCTCTCCCTCTCCCCTAACACAATATTTTGCAGAGAAGTGAAGCTGTCTGTAGTTTCTTATCTTACAAACTCCATCGTTGACCAGATCCTGCAGGAGCTCTACGCCACCCATAAGACCCTGGTAAATAATAACCAAATCTCTGTTTCTGTGACACTTTTCATGCAAAGATGCAGCCCAAAGTGCTCAAGAGTACAAGATTAGATTGTTTGTTTGTAGCCTTTATTTAAACAGGTTAAAAAATCCCATTGAGATCAACGATCTCTTTTTCAAGGGAGACCTGCGGAGATTAAAATAGACAATAAGTAATAGCAATAGTGAGAGAAAAACAATGGTCTATTTTTGGCAATTTCCAAAGATGAAAAATGATGTTGTTGCGACCTTGACTAATTCAATTATATTCATAGCCTAAAATAGCTCCTACATCTGTGTTTTGATTTGCTTTGACAGGCTAGCAAACACTGACTGCAGTCTCTGTCTTTGTGCTTTTGAACTTACAAATAGATTTCTTGTTTTCTGCTCATTTCTGTAAAAAATAATGTTTTACTCCAGTTGTTAACATCAATGAGACAGGAGTGAAATACTTATCGCAATATGTTGGATGCATAGAGACGAAGTGGACGACAAAGGGACTGAAGAGTGTTTTCTTTCTCAGAATCGGCAGATGTCTCATTTTAAACGCTGGGACGGGACCTGTGAGGACGGGACTGGCTGGAGGTTCAACAGAAACAGAGACTCTCTGGACATCACAGATGAGGAGTTCAGCACCAGCATAGTGAGAGTCAATATATAAACATATAACCATCTTTTCATTTGTCCTATAGTATCTGTGGTACAGTGGCATTCCAATACTTCACATTATTGAGATTTTAACTCCTCAAACTCATTTTAGTCACCATCACATTTTGTATTTTTTTTGTATATATTGTGACAATCTTAATCAGTTATCTCCTGCTTCAATCTCACATTTCTGTCTGGCATGAACAGTCTAGTTGTCAATCATACAAAGTACCACGACATTTCTTTGGCAACTCTCACAGCAGTAAAAAATAGACACAAATAAGGTAGTAGTGAGGACAGTGCAACGAGATAAAATTCAATGTCAATGTTCATATTTACACTTACAGTTTAAAAACGTTAAATGTACAAAACTGTATAATGTAGTGTATTTCTTTAAACTAGCCACTTTCCTCCGCTTGGTTACCAGAGAAAAATAATTGGGCAGCACTTCTAACCAAAAAGCACAGCTTCAGTTATGGATGGCTGTATTGATGGATTTTCCTCTGGGTTCTGACATTTGAAATATTACACTGACTTTCTTGACAGACGAACCAAAGGTCAACATTTGAAAAGCCCCAACACCTCCACTCGAGACGTTTCAACAATACTTGGATTGATGATGTATTGTCACTTCAATCGTGTTCTGGCCTTTGGAAGTTTAGACAGGAGTGGTTTGATTGAAAGCCTTTTAATCCTTCACAATTACCTTATCTTTATCGTCAAGCAGCTCAATATTCACAAGATGTCAGTAAACTGTCTCTGACGATATCTCAACTATCTGCCATAAACCCAAGGCTTTCTTCATAGTAATAGGTCCAGTCATTACCTTCTACTTCTATTCCTTGATGTCTACTCTAAAACCTGCCGGGAATTCCCCTAACTCAAAGTTTAAAATAATTTGTGTTCAATCTCCCCATTTATTATTTGGGAAAGCTCTAGTGTCTCCCACCTGCAGCCTATTATATTAACCTTGGTTTGTTAATAATGTTTTTTAATCAGGGATTCAGGGAGTGGAAGAGCTCTGAATCAGCCTTTTTAGTGGTCTTGAATGACCTGCTCTTAGCCCTGTTGGTGAAAGTGCTATTTTACAATGTATTACCTATTGGCTTGTATCCTCTTATGACTATAACACTTATAATGTTTACCAAGTTAACAATACTAGTTCAGCTTTTAGAGTGGAACCAGTTGGAGTTTAAATTCTGACCTGATGATGTTGCTTCATTATGTAAGAGGATCACCAATGGGAGAGTTGTAAGTCCAACAAATGAAATGACAATTGATATTACTATTGTGGAGAAATGTCCATAAAAAGCACAAATGTGAACCGAATTGTGGCGCTACAGGAAAAGTTTGGGGACTATCAAAGTAAATAGGACTCATTCCCTCTGCACCTTGAAAATCTGGAAAACAATTCACAGCAATCCATCCAATAGTTGTTGAGATATTGGACCAAAGTGGTGGACTAACTGACTCATAGGGATTGCCACTCGCAAAGCTAAACTCAAACAGCTATCTGCCATGGTTTATACTTTGCAGATAACCTATTTTTGCAATTTCTCATACTGAGTTAAGCCTTTACAGACAAACATTTCTCTTCTTAGATTCAGTTTCCTTCCGCTCAAAATATTTTCTGTCCTTGACAGCCCAAGTTATGCACAGTTTGTTATTCACCAACCTTTGTATGTCCCAGTATGTGTTTGTTATTTTATATTGACTGTTTCAGCTCCGCTTGATGCTTTGTTTTTAAAATTGACTTGATGTAGCTTAACTTCACTGACAAAAGCACTGATGGCCTGAAGGAGGGCTTGTATTATTTGTGCTACTTGACATGTTTACTCACTTAATGGTTGTATGCCTTACCCCTCAGCTTCTCTGTTTCTTTCTTTCGTTTTTTCATCCCAGGATACAATAGCCATTAAGAAGCGCAGCTCGAGAACAAGACGAATTCGACCTGTCTCCACCAGGCTGAGTGAGTATCCTGTAAATCCTCTTTCCCGTCCAGCTCTGACCCCATCCTGTCTCTTTCAGGACTCCATTAGTGTTTTCTCTGTTGACTCTTTTCCCCCTTTCCGGTAACTTGTTCTGAGTAGTCTTTTAATGTCTCTTTTAATCTGGCCCGAGACAAGACTGAGTCAGTAAATCTCAGAGCAGTAGCAGATTGTTTTAAATTGTCTTGAAGCAGAAACAATTCCCACTTCTTGTCTCTCGTCTGCCTGCTCAGTGTCTTGCCCTCACATCTTCTTTAATGTCTTCACCTGTTATCAGGTCTCTGTGACGACTCCAGCTCCTCTCCACCCCCCTCGGTGCCGTCATACTCCTCCCCGCTGTCCCGCTCGGCATCCTGGGAGGGCCTGTCGGAGCTGCCTACACAGGGTCTGCCACTCCACCATGTGACACGGGTTAGGCCGAGGCCTCCGCGGAGGCATAAAGGAGGACACATCCCTGCTGATACTGTAAGGAGGGTTTGATCTCTGCACCTTTTGATAGCTAAAGAAATGTGAATTTTGCATTTATAATTCCAGCATACACTAGTGTTAGCTTATCTACACACAAGTAATGTATGCCATCTATCTATCTATCTATCTATCTATCTATCTATCTATCTATCTATCTATCTATCTATCTATCTATCTATCTATCTATCTATCTATCTATCTATCTATCTATCTATCTATCTATCTATCTATCTATCTATCTATCTATCTATCTATCTATCTATCTATCTATCTATCTATCTATCTATGCATAATTCCCCCATTTTCTAATGTTCATGCCTGCTGGCAGAGACTCCTGTCTTTGTCTGAGGTAATCCATACAAAGTGGATGGCTGCAATTGCATTATGTCATCTCTCTGAAGCCAGTGTAATCCATTTGTTTTATTGCAATACAGAACATTCACAATGAAGCCCAGTGCAAGTAAATTGACACCTTTAAAAAGTGTTTGTTGTTATGTTTGTGTGTGCACAGCATTCCAGTGAAAATGGAGGAATAAGCCCCCTTGATGACGGGCTCCCAGATTTCTATACCAAAAGAGTTCTCCCTGACAGGTGAGAGTTTATTTACTATTATCCTTTCCTAAAGATTATCCCCTGAATTTACATTTGTTTGAGTAACAAAAAAAAAAAAGTTTTTAGATTGAGTTCTTACATCATATTTTTGAAAATCAATTTACAACGTCTTAATACTTACTTAGGATACTGCAGGGAATCCATCAAAGTGACACATTTAAGTTATCGCTGCATGGTGATGGTCAGCAATAACTGCTTAGCAAATCTTCTGTTTTAAGAGAGTTATCTGCTGACACAAATCTATTACAGTAAATACAAGAATAAGAGAATACGACTTTTCTTCTTGGTTTGATGCTCCATTATTATTATATTACTATTTTCACAGCATATTGAAATAAATGGACACCTGTGGTTGAAATCACTGTATCAGTGACAAGAAATTATTATAAATTGTGCTTTGGGAATAGTAAGTAGTGTACCTTAAATATCTTTACCAAAGATAGTTAACAGCAATATTAGACAATAACAGGATTTTTAAACCATCAATATAAAACATTATCTAATAAGAGTGTATCACAAAAAGGAGATAATATGAGCAGAATAAATGACAAGATCACAGTAAAAGCTAGTGGCGGTGTAAGGTGTAGCTTCAAAGGAAAGGGAACAATGATATAACCTTGGCTGATGCCTTTAGTGCCGTACCGATCAACAGAAACTGGAACTAAATGAATACAAACCATCATATCAGTTATGATAGTGAGGTGGGCTGAAGATCGGAAGGTTGTGAGTTCAAATCCCGCCAGGAACACCACCACTAGCGTGCCCTTGAGTAAGGCACTTAGTCCTTAGTTACTCCAGGGAGAATGTCCCTGTAATTGGTAATTGTAAGTCGCTTTGGATAAAAGCATCAGCTAAATGAAATGTAATGTATTGTAATCAGGCTAGATTTAGAATTGAATTAATCACATATTCCTTTAAGTAAAGAAAAAGTAATTCAACGCGATTAACTCTGCAGTTTCCTTATGCAATCTTAATGCAATGACATTTCAATTAGCATGATGCTTGTAAAAACACCCACAATCAAACAGTTACCGACAGCTTGTTTTCTGAGGCTTTATTTGAATTGGCTTATGGTTAGTTTGTTGTGTCTCATATCTCAGGAAGGTTGTGTTTCTCTGACCAGTGTGTTGTCTGTTTTTGAAGTTCCCCCATCGTGAGGTTCAGCTTCAGTTCAGCACATCTTCAGGGCTGTTCGTACATTCAGAGGCAATTGAATCTGCTCTCCATCATCTTTGCTCAATCATAACATAAATTGAGTCACTCTTTGATGATTAAAGAAGCTGGAGCTGGCTGTTTGGAGCATTTGGCTAACAAGACATGATTGGTTGTCTTGTGTCTGCATGTTGTTGATCAAAGGGGTCTCGGACTCAGGAAGCAGAGGTGTTTTTTTACCCATCTTTAAAGATGATTTCGGTTGTTTGTCACTGACAGCTAGTCAAGTTGTTACATTTGTGATCGGCCTGCTTTGTAAATGTACATTGTGTCCTACAGTAATCATGCAAATGAAAGAAAATAAATATAAGTGCCAAAACATGCAGAACCAAAGTGTCCCATTAGCGAGTGATGGAGCACTTTGGTTAGCCTTTATTTTGGTGGAGTTAAATTTAGGAACAGCTGCCACAATTTATCAGAATAATATTGCTTCCTTCCTCACTGCAGATCGTCAGGTTAAATCAGTGCTTTGACTGTAATATGATTGCATTTATGACATAAAAAAGTGCACTTTAGATGAATCATAAAGACATGTAGCCTAGCAACGCTCAAATTGCAGATGTACCAGAAGAAAAGCAGACAAAGAGCCGGCCAGGATCGTTGTATGACTTCAGTAACATCCTTTCAGAGATTACCGGACAGCCTGTGTGACATTGAACCTCTCTCACCTCTTTCAGTCAGCTGTCCTCTCTGCACAAAGCGCACTCGCTGAGGAGGAAGAAGAGGAGAAATATGCTGGCCATCTTCGGTTTTCGCAAGAACCGCAACCAAACTTTGTCCAATCAGGAACCGGAGTCTGAAGCAGAGGTTTATTCAGACGGGTGTCACTTTGTGGCCACAGCACCCACAGGGTTCGTGTATGCACAAACACAACCCACACACTCTATATATCACTCTATATAGATAACTATATAATATAGATAGGGCCCGGAAACACAATGCCTATTCACTAGATTACAATACATTCACACAATCCTTCCATATTCTACTGCCCAGCTTCACTTGGTCACTTATTTTGTCTTATTAGAGCAGTCAGCAGCACTTAACTCCATAAATACTCCAGCAAATATCACTCTAAATCTCCCTCAAATCTTTGTTGAGATGGCTGATAGCTGTCAGAGTGCAGGCATGCTGAAACCACCGTGTGAACACAGATGTAGATGACAGCCGGTGGCTCAGATTCATGATCCGACCGTCAGCAAAGTGATTAGAGATGAACACGCTGCATGTCAGATACAGATTAGGATGGCAACATAGCTGGTATCTGCAAGAAAAGGGACAATTGACTAATTATTCTGCTCTCACAACTTGTTACATTTGAGTTTGACGTTTTATTTTTTGAATCTGGAAAAAGAAGCAGCAATTTAATTTCAATGCAGGCTAACATCTTTAATGTCTTTCCAACTTTTAGGACAGCCACAGAGAATGTATACACACTCCTTCAGCCTCCGAGGTCCTCTGCAAGAGCTGGATCTCCTGGTGAAGGGGCTGATGGGAAAACTATTGATCACCAGGGGGAAAATGCTCTAGTTTTAAGTCCGCCACCTGTGCCAGGCATCCCTCACCCGGGCATGGGAGGAAGCAAACACCGCTTCTTTTCTCACAGAGAGGTACAGAAAGTGTAACCTGCCAAATAAATGTCTCTGTCTTTGTCTCGTATATTATGTTTTCATGCCTCTTGTGTTTTTACAGAAATCTGAAGTGGACGCTGTGTTTGAACATCCGTCAGAGTCAGACAGGTACTGGATGGACAACAAACAAAGGGCAGGAGACACTCTGCACCCAGACAAGCCGTGGATAGAGGCCAGGCAAGGGGACGAACCAGCAGAGAAACACGCAGAAAGACAGCGGTTTGATAGCAGGCCGCAAGACAGAACACCTGGAGAGCCGAGGACAATAGAACGACAACCAGACAGGTACTGGACCGAGAGCAGACACTTGGACAGACAGTGGACTGTTGACAGACACACCCAGCGGCAGATTGACAGAAAGATAGAGAGGCAGTGGATGGGCGGCAGACAGATAGACAGATTGTGGTCAGAGAACAGGCCCACAGACTTACAGGTGGACAACCAGGGGACAGAGAGCAGACAAGGAAGCAAAAAGACAGAGAGACAAGTGCAGACGCTTATTTTGTCTCAAAGGCCGCTGCCTCCGTACCCGTCGGACAGGACGCCTTCGCCACAACAGGATAAGGATCCTCTGAAAAGCGCAGAGGCAGCAGCTCCAGACTGGCATCAGCAGGACACGCAGGACAGAGACAGACAAATGTGTCCCGACGCTGGTGGAGGGTTCACAGAGGGATGGAGGAGCAGCGGAGGAGGAGGGGGTCGAGCTGCTTCCTGTTCATCTAAACCCGATCCCCCGCCACAAAGCAGCAAACCTTTATTGTCCAAACTGAGAACCAGACACCGCCTCGAGAGCGCAGACACTCTACCAGGTACGTCACTGTCAGACATGTTTTTGTGCTGAAGGTTAGAAAGGGTTTTATAAGAGTTTTCAGTTGCATTCGTTGTGTGTAAACATTTCACAGTGTAGATTATAAAGATTTCTTCTTGAATTGTATGTACAGAGGAGGAAGGCGAGGTAGAGGAACATGGAAAGACGGAAAAGAACGAGAGAGAAAAAAGAAGAGACTCGGAGGGTCACCCTCCTCCGATCCCAGAAAAGGTGTGTAATTTATATCCATGCATGGTTTGATTAGTGTAAAAGAACAAATATGTCCATCATTAGTTACTGTAAATGTATAGCAAATGTATACAGGGCTTTTTGTCTTAATTCATTTGATTTGTTCATGGTTTGTGTTCTGATCCTGAACAGCCAAAGACGTCCTCGTATGTAACATTTCCAAAAGAATCAGCCAATGAGAGGAACCTACCTCCCCCTCCTGTCCCACCTCCTACCAACAAGCCTCTGCACGGGTTACCAGACCGAGCTGCAAGTCAAGGTAACGCCACTGAAAATCCATACAATCGACTTGAATTAGTTTTAACAGCTGTAACTAAAAAGTCTAGTTGTGTTCACATTAGTATGAGGAAATGGCAAGTTGGGCCTTAACAGTGATTGTTACTTCTTGGACAGGCACAGTGACTTCTTGGATTCAACAATATATTTGCTCCCAGCCAAGAAATTGTCTGGCTAATAACACACCATAAAAGTAGAACTTCTCTGGTGTCTTCTCATTTGTACGAACAAAATAAAGAAGATATTACGAATTTATAAGTGAGCTTTAGAAGTGCTGTTAAGAGGATTTCGATTTTTATTTTTTTTATTTCATACATGTTGTTCAGGTGAAGAAGGATTAAGACCTCAGGCACCGGTGAAACCACAGAGAAACAGAAAGGCCATGTCTTGTGACGCAGGTACAGTTTGGCTTTTCTCAATCACACGTAATACTTTTCTTAGTTATCAAACAGGCTTCTACACTGTATTATATTTAAGTTGAGAGTTTATGTTTATCTATGTGTAAAGCGTCTGTATCTAACTGTTCATTTGTGTGTTTTTTTGTCCTCACTGAACTCAGGCACTGACAGGGAAAGCCCTAATAGCGTTGAGAAGCCCCCAAATCGCAAACCCCCTGTGAAAAAACCTAGACTACCCCAAAACAGAAATAAGTCACTGGACATGTCTGGTACACGTCTCTCTGTTTTTATTTGTGTGTGTGTGTGTGTGTGTGTGTGTGTGTGTGTGTGTGTGTGTGTGTGTGTGTGTGTGTGTGTGTGTGTGTGTGTGTGTGTGTGCGTGCGTGCGTGCGTGCGTGCGTGCGTGCGTGCGTGCGTGCGTGCGTGTATTACATGACAAAGAGTGTGATTGTCAAACACCACGGTATGTGTTACTATTGTGGATTATGATTATTAAATGTATTTCAACAGACAAAATTTAATATAAAATACAACAGAATAATCAAAATCAGAAAGCCTTTATTGGTCCCACAGTGGGTAATTTACAACGTCACAGCAGCAATGTACAGATAAAACACAAAAAAAAGAAAAAGATTAGACTTAGTAGACAAGTACACCACGGTTAAAAAATAAGGTAGCGTTATTCTAACAAGTAATTGACCATAAAAAAAAAAGATTGAAAGAGCCGGTAATGTTAACAAATTGTTACAATTTATAACAAATCGTCAAAGTTACTGGCTCTTTCGATATATATATATAATATACATGCATAGATCAATTTCAGTGATATGTTTTGATAAGACTCCCTGCCAATGATAATTTTCTTTTTTTTATTTCACAGACGGCTTCGACTCAGCCTCTAGTCACAGCGAGCTCTTGTGATTCCCGGGAAAATTCACCCGCCGCTGTCCGGCCAAAGCGTTGTCATGACAACTATGGAGCATTTAATCCAACGAGGAAACAAAGAAACGCCACGAAGAGGGGGAGGGCCAGGGAGAAAATGTGTGACAGACATCATAAAGCATCAGCCTCTGTTGAAACACTCGGACTGCGTCTTGGTTTTCCTCTCACATTAAAACTCTTTTTTGTGGCTTCAGTATTTGAACAGTGTTTGCTACTTTAGAATAACCCAAATGATCATTGTCTTTTATGTTGGTGGACCGTTGGCCGAGTGTTGGAGCATAGTGGCTTTACCAAACAGAAAATAAAAAAATGTCTTTGTTAGAATCAGATTTCTTAAATCTGCAATGCATTTTTGACTGCTGATACAGTGAATTGCCTTGGTTGACACTTGAAAATGAGTTGCTTCTTATCAGATGAAACTTGATGATTTATATCTAGTTTGGCTTTCAGGAACTGAAAGTTAATATATTTTATAGAGAAAAAAGATATTATGTATGAGCACCCTCACTGTATGAATAAAAAATGTACGGAAAAACAAATATGAGTCTTGCTGTAGCAGTTATTGTATCAACCAGGATTAAATGTGTTTTTTCATAAAATATTACAGAAAAATAGGAGCTGGAAGCTAATACAGAAATACACCTGTCCGAAAGTTATTTCACTATACGAAAAAAGTTATTTTTCTTGGTTAATTTGCCTGAAACTTAAAATCCGCACACATCAGAAGTCACATATTGTTTAATCACATCGCTGCCTCAGTAGTGGCAGTACATTAAAGCACCTCACTAATGGAGCAAAGACTGCAAGCTCGTTCAATCATTCAACTCGAGCATCGATAAACATGTGACATGCCATACCCTCTCATACATCCAACCAAACACATTCTCCTATTTCCGGCACGCTATTTAAGCTGCACAGTTTGCCATCTCACCCTCTTCCCTGCTAATGCTCCTGCTGCCCAGTTTCTGCAAAGCTGTTGATTTTCTGCCCCACCACCAGCCCAGCATCCACCTGTAAGCTCCAGGGATAGTTACTTAATCATCACTCCCTAATTGTCTATGTATATTTGCGGGGAATGATAAGGCCTAAGCCTGGATGCCAGACTCACACTATATGCAGCTAAACATTTAAAATGGGAGTTGTCTGACTGAACCACATGTTACAAATATTGCACAAATAACACAATCAGGGATAAGAACCAGATTCATATTGCATGAGCTCTCATCATATCATCAATCTATTGCAAAATCACTCAGATCACACCATGAATATATTGAAACCAATGTTGCTTGAAGCTACATTATTTAAATGTTAGATGAGGCACATTGGAGATTCTAAAACGGTGGTTTGC